GACTAAAACCATGGGTTAACCCCTTGGGAAAAATGTCAATTTTGCGACTTTTCTGACTTCTTGTTTTTATAGCCTAGAAAGGCGTTTTTTCGTTCTAGAATATCATCAAAGGCATTTTCCTGGTTTATATTGCCTAAAAAAAAAAGTTTTAAAATGGCCAATTTTGGACCAAGACCGTGGGTTAACCCCTTGGGAAAAATGTCAATTTTTCGACTTTTTGGACTTCTTGTTTTTATAGCCTAGAAAGGCGTTTTTTCGTTCTAGAATATCATAAAAGACATTTTCCTGGCCTATATTGCCTAAAAAAAAAAAATTGGAAAAATGGCCATTTTTGGACCAAAACCATGGGTTAACCCCTTAGAAAAAATGTCAATTTTTCGACTTTTTGGACTTCTTGTTTTTATAGCCTAGAAAGGCGTTTTTTCGTTCTAGAATATCATAAAAGACATTTTCCTGGCCTATATTGCCTAAAAAAAAAAAAAAAGTTGGAAAAATGGCCATTTTTGGACCAAAACCATGGGTTAACCCCTTAGGAAAAATGTCAATTTTTCGACTTTTTGGACTTCTTGTTTTTATAGCCTAGAAAGGCGTTTTTTCGTTCTAGAATATCATAAAAGACATTTTCCTGGCCTATATTGCCTAAAAAAAAAAAGTTGGAAAAATGGCCATTTTTGGACCAAAACCATGGGTTAACCCCTTAGGAAAAATGTCAATTTTTCGACTTTTTGGACTTCTTGTTTTTATAGCCTAGAAAGGCGTTTTTTTCGTTCTAGAATATCATAAAAGACATTTTCCTGGCCTATATTGCCTAAAAAAAAAAGTTGGAAAAATGGCCATTTTTGGACCAAAACCATGGGTTAACCCCTTAGGAAAAAATGTCAATTTTTCGACTTTTTGAACTTCTTGTTTTTACCCGCTAGAAAGGCGTTTTTTCGTTCTAGAATATCATAAAAGACATTTTCCTGGCCTATATTGCCTAAAAAAAAAGTTAGAAAATTGGCCATTTTGGGACCAAAACCATGGGTTAAAACCCTTTGGAAAAAATGTCAATTTTTCGACTTTTTGAACTTCTTGTTTTTATAGCCTAGAAAGGCGTTTTTTTGTTCTAGAATATCATAAAAGACATTTTCCTGGCCTATATTGCCTAAAAAAAAAAAATTGGAAAAATGGCCATTTTTGGACCAAAACCATGGGTTAACCCCTTGGGAAAAATGTCAATTTTTCGACTTTTTGGACTTCTTGTTTTTATAGCCTAGAAAGGCGTTTTTTCGTTCTAGAATATCATAAAAGACATTTTCCTGGCCTATATTGCCTAAAAAAAAAAGTTGGAAAAATGGCCATTTTTGGACCAAAACCATGGGTTAACCCTTTGGGAAAAATGTCAATTTTGCGACTTTTTGGACTTCTTGTTTTTATAGCCTAGAAAGGCGTTTTTTCGTTCTAGAATATCATCAAAGACATTTTCCTGGCCTATATTGGCTAAAAAAAAAAAGTTGGAAAAATGGCCATTTTTGGACCAAAACCATGGGTTAACCCCTTGGGAAAAATGTCAATTTTTCGACTTTTTGGACTTCTTGTTTTTATAGCCTAGAAAGGCGTTTTTTCGTTCTAGAATATCATAAAAGACATTTTCCTGGCCTATATTGCCTAAAAAAAAAAAGTTGGAAAAATGGCCATTTTTGGACCAAAACCATGGGTTAACCCCTTAGGAAAAATGTCAATTTCTCGACTTTTTGGACTTCTTGTTTTTATAGCCTAGAAAGGCGTTTTTTCGTTCTAGAATATCATAAAAGACATTTTCCTGGCCTATATTGCCTAAAAAAAACAAAAATGGAAAAATGGCCATTTTTGGACCAAAACCATGGTTTAACCCCTTGGGAAAAATGTCAATTTTTCGACTTTTTGGACTTCTTGTTTTTATAGCCTAGAAAGGCGTTTTTTCGTTCTAGAATATCATAAAAGACATTTTCCTGGCCTATATTGCCTAAAAAAAAAAAGTTGCAAAAATGGCCATTTTTGGACCAAAACCATGGGTTAACCCCTTGGAAAAAATGTCAATTTTTCGACTTTTTGGACTTCTTGTTTTTATAGCCTAGAAAGGCGTTTTTTCGTTCTAGAATATCATCAAAGACATTTTCCTGGTTTATATTGCCTAAAAAAAAAAGTTGGAACAATGGCCATTTTTGGACCAAAACCATGGGTTAACTCCTTGGGAAAAATGTCAATTTTTCGACTTTTTGGACTTCTTGTTTTTATAGCCTAGAAAGACGTTTTTTCGTTCTAGAAGATCGTGTAAGACATTTTCGTGGCCTATATTGGCTAAAAAAGAAAGTTCAAAAAAAGGCCATTATTTGACGAAAACGTTGTGTTCACCCCTTTGGAAAAATTGCAATTTTTCGACTTCTTGAACTTCTTGTTTTTACAGCTTAGAAAGGCGTTTTTTCGTTCTAGAATACCGTAAAAGTTATTTTTTGTGGCCTATATTGCCTAAAAATAAAAGTTGAAAAAATGGCTGGTTTGGGACCAAAACCATGTCAATTTTTCGACTCTTCGAAGTTGTTTTGATAGCCTAGAAACTTTGATTTCACTTTAAAACATCACCAAACATCATTTCGAGGGTCAATCTGACCATTTACAAACTGAAGAAATTGAAAATGTTAACCCAAAATCATAGGGTAACCCCTTAGGAAAAAATTCAAGATGGGGGCTGCTCAAACTTAATTCATAATTTGTCAGAATGACTTTGATTTCACTCTAAAACATCAACAAACAATATTTCTTTGTTCAATTTGACTATATGCACACTTTGAAGACATTTAAAATTTTGACTCTTTTGGAAAAAATTTACGATTGAAGATGAATGACTTTGATTTCACTCTAAAACATCAACAAACAATATTTCTTTGTCCAATTTGACTATATGCACACTTTGAAGACGTTCAAAATTTTGACCCAAAATCATAGGGTAACCCCTTTGGAAAAAATTCAAGATGGTGGCTGCTCACATTTGATATCTTCGTTTTTTTTGTCAGAATAACTTTGATTTCACTCTAAAACATCAACAAACATCATTTTCAGGTCACATTTGACCATATACAAAGTTTCAAGAAATTTGAAATTTTGACCCAAGATCATAGGCTAACCCCTCTGGAAAAAATTCAAGATGGCGGCTGATCAAATTTGACATCTTCATATGTCGTCAGGATCAGTTTAATTTCACTCCAAAACATCAACAAACATGATTTCTAGGTCCAAGTTGACTATATACAAACTTTGATGAAATTTGAAATTTTCACACGAAATCATACACTAACTCTTTTGGAAGAAATTTAAGATCGAAGATGAATGACTTTGATTTCACTCTAAAACATCAACGAACAATATTTCTTTGTCCAATTTGACTATATGCACACTTTGAAGACGTTCAAAATTTTGACCCAAAATCATAGGGTAACCCCTTTGGAAAAAATTCAAGATGGTGGCTGCTCACATTTGATATCTTCGTTTTTTTGTCAGAATAACTTTGATTTCACTCTAAAACATCAACAAACATCATTTTCAGGTCACATTTGACCATATACAAAGTTTCAAGAAATTTGAAGTTTTGACCCAAAATCATAGGCTAACCCCTCTGGAAAAAATTCAAGACGGCGGCTGATCAAATTTGACATCTTCGTATATCGTTAGAATGACTTTAATTTCACTCTAAAACATCAACAAACTTGATTTCTAGGTCCAATTGTGACTTTATACAAACTTTGAAGAAATTTATATTAAAAATCCGAAAAATATTAGATTTCCTCTCGAACAGGAAAATTTCACATCGAAACTATTGTTTAAGTTTTTATCCTTTCTATTGAGATTTTCAGAGGCAGAGTTTGTTACTTCTTTAATTTTTAATCGATTTTGAAGTAATATATGGTCTTGAGCCTGTGAAAACCGATCTGAGAGCCTCCGAACCGACTCGGTCGCCGTACGCCTGAAATAAAACTCCAATGGAACTAAAAGTAATTTTTCTAGAAATAGTTTAGCTAGACCCATATTCTGACAAAGTTTGGGGATTTTCGAATTTTTCATTTTGCACACCCTTAGGCGATATTTACGGACGGCCGCTCTTAAAATCTCCCTGCTATCAAATATGAAGAGGGTAGAATCTAATAGGGAGTTTAAGCAGCGACATTTTTGAGAGACTCACGTCACCGGAAGTGAGCCTTTTTCTATATTAAATTGCCTTGACGCCACCAAATTTGTATTGCCAAGAATTTTTACTCTTAGGGTGAATTTTCACTGTCGCGTAATTTTTACGTGCGTAAGTGTATAAAATTTACGTTCGCAAATAAAATAGAGGCAAAGTATGAAGGGTCGCATCATGTAAAGGTGAAAACTGAACCTCGCTCAACTTCCCGTTTAAACTCAATACTTTATGTCTTGCCTGTATTCTATTCACGCGAATAAAATTTACATGCGTGTACACGCACGTACACATTACGCGGCAGTGGAAATCCACCATTATAGAGTCGATTCGCCCAAAAATTTGTTAAAAAATCTCGTCTTAAAAGTACAAAAAGTCCACTTCCGGTCGACGTGCGTCGCTCGAAAACTTCGTTGCTTAAACTCTCTAATGGCAAAAACAAAATCCTCTTAGCGCAAGCTCATCAGCCAAGTATTGTGTCTCAATCGGCAAAAACCTGCGTAGGGCAGTTGCTCTCAGTCTTCCTCTGAACCCCCCTCCCCCTCCTCTGTGCTTTGGCCTATCTGTATGACGTGGACTAAAACAAGCAGTTAACAGTATAAAGGATATAAACTTCGATTCTAGAACTGCTGATTAACGCATAGAAGTTACGTTAAAGATACCAGTCTAATTACTTTCGGGAATTCTGATAAGCATTTGTTAAAAGGACTTTATTTGTTCAACTCAATATGCTGACAACATATCTAAATTAAAAGGTCTTGTAAGTTTTAATTGTTCTTTATACCGTAATCACTACTGTATTTTAAGAGACCTTTTTAAAGCTGCCACAAAAGCTGTTTAAGACTTCAAGCGAAATTTTCCAAATCCGTTCCATTTCGGTGCCTAGAGAAACTGTCAAGTGTTGCACTGTCACGTTTCCAGTCCTCCTCGGTTCTATTTAAGGGGCGAACAACACTTTGGTGGAGGCTGGACAACAGTTGATCCCGGTATCGCTCTTGTTCGATACGCTGCAAGTAAAAAGCATCATCCAAACAGGATTAAAATAAAATTAAATACCAAAGAAATTTTAAAGTTTTACTGAAATATGAAACATGTGGGTTCTTGGACGTCGGACGTGAGATTTTGCGGGTCGTTCAAAATTTCTGTCCTTATTACTACGTACCACCACTTCTGTTACTGTTATTAATATTGTTGTTGATGTTGTTATTATCGTTATTCCACTACTGTTATTAACATTAGTTTTGATGTTGTTATTGTCGTTACGTTCTACTTCTGTTTTTAATTACGTTGTTTACGTTGTTATTGTCGTTATTAAACTGTTACGTACCATTTCCTGGTGAATAGCTCTCGCTATGGAGCCAGCTCTGGTTACTAGACTCCTGTAGGAACGTACAACATACACGTGTCTGTTTCGGTAGGTAATGGGTCGCAGGTATCTGTGGTCAATGCGCCCAACACAAACGACATAAACCTGCACTCCTAGGCGCCTGTAAACACAAACCGAAGGTACGTGTCATAAAAGTACTTTGTGTAAAATAGAAAGATAGGTGAATAACCTTGCAGCGAACAATAGTGGGGAGGAGAATGTATTCACAAGTAAACTGAACCACAACCAGTTGGACATCAATTCGGTCTCATGTTGTGGTCTACTCACTCGCCCCAATAAAATAGTCAACCACAATCATGCACGACGACAATGGATCAGCGCTTACTAATAAGTTACAGGGTAAACTATGCTAATTTACAGCTCAACGATCTTCACTCTTCAGCACTTCTAGAAATGCATAGAAAATTAAGAAGTGCCGAAACATTCAGTTTTCTGCGATTTAATTAATAATAGGAATCGCTTAACCCGGAGTGATTCTCTTGAAAGTCACCCGGAAAATGTTTCCTTGAGGTAGATAAATAAGGACCAGTTTTGTGGATAACTGCCATGTTGGTGGGATAGAATCTTAAAAATGTACGTCTCCAAGATGAGAACTTAAAAGTTTTTAAACAATAGGTATTTATGTTTCTTGTTTGCTCCGAACGTTTTTGAAAAAAAAAAATAACATGCTTGAACTATATATTTTTGGTTCATAAACCTTGTTTAAATTTTCAATAGATATTAAGTTAAGACAGGGTTTCCCCTAGGGTTAATTAGCAAGGCTAACTAACCTGAACTTTGATGGAAGGCTGTTGATTACGAAGGACGATCGCCCAGTTTGCTTTCCACTGACCACCACCACTAGAATCCTGCGCACAAAGGAATATTTGTATTTTCGAGGGAAGAAATATCGTACAGAGGCTCTTAATCCTAGATCAACACGTCTTCCGTACTGGTTCGGATACCGAATGTAATTCAATGCTCTTTCCACCAATCTCAGAGAGCTGTGCTGGTTAAATCTCATGCCAAGATGTGGCCTGTTGCCATAAGTTGCGACTCCAATGTGTGACTGATGTCGGCTGATTGTGAAACGACGAGCAATTGATTTGATGAATGCCTTTTCGAAGTGAAAGTTTCGTCGACCAACGTAGCGGGAGCCATCAATCAAGAACGCAATGTCAGCGGTAACAGGAATATGCGATACACCTTTCAAAATAAGAGATTAGGTTGCAGATTTTTTTTTTTGCATCGTTACAAGATGTTACATACATTACAGTATACTGCAAGAGAAGAAAGAAAAAAAAAGAACAACAAAATAAATGAACCATGAAAGGTGAAGTATGAAATGCTGAATTATGAAATATGAGTGTAATATCAGTGAAATGAAACCCTTAAACGGCAAAGAGATATCTCACATTAGTTGGTTTTAATGTATAAGCTTAGCAGCTTTCGTCAAACATTTCAAAATCAAGGGATGTTTCACTTCGGGGGCTAAAATCCAAAAACTACAAAGAAATAATGGACGTGTCTAGTTTGTTAGAAGATCAACTCAACGATAACAATGATAAATTTAAAATTTTAAAAAGCACATAAAATTACTTACTTCCGGAGGGTAATCTTGGAAGTGGAAGTGGACGTACGGGTCGAACAGGACGGACTGGTCTGACAGGTCTGACTGGTCTGATGGGCTTAATCGGATGTCCTTTAATAAAGAAATGGAAAGAGTCTTTCAGTCGTTTTTTTATCCGAATTATTTCCTTATACACTTTTATTATCGTTTTTTGACAACTTAACTACTGCTTTTACTTTTGAACTTACTGGTACAACTACCCCATCTCTTGTCTCGATCATAGTTTGGTGTCAAAGCGCACCATGGCCGATTGCTGTTTTTGGAAGAGCAACTGTTGTAACGGCGACCCTTATAAATGAATGGGAAGACGCAGCAGTAATTTGACGTCGTTCTCTTTCGGCAGGTTCCTTTAAGTACAAAAAGAAAAGAAATTTTAATATAAGGTAAAATTATGATACAAAGTAACGCGCATTCCACATAATATACACTTCAATAAAAACGTCACTCGAAAAGTACACTCGACAAATGAGACCATATAAATCTGGGGTATACGCACGTTAACCAGCATTAAAAATAATTCAAAGCTCTCCACTAGTTTAGGTTATATCGTCAAGAGGTCCCAGTGTTCAAAGCGCTTCTAGTTTTCAAGACCATACCTTGACCTGTGCATACAAGGTTTCCCGTGGCCACATTGCTGACAACCGCGATGTTCCACAGTTGTAATGACCTATTACTATTTAAGCCACATAGCTGGTAAACACAATTTTCCACAGAATGCTTCATACTTTTTCTCTTTTTCCAGTACTTAAAATGAGGATGACTACTCGTTCGCACACGCTTAATCGACACTTCCAAGCCAGGGAACTCTTTAGTCTTATCTTATCGTTTATAATTTTTAAGTGACAATGTTGTCTCAATCTAGTGAATAAACAGTGTGTATGATTGTCTAAAGGTGCTTTTCCTGTGCAGTGCATAAAGCGTAACAAAGACGACCCTTGCTCATCCCATGACGGAGAATAAATTTATTCTTGCTTTTTTTTTTGTTATTGATTTGAACCATCAGTTAAATACTATTTGCACCTCTTTCATTCGACCATCCACAGGGATATTTTTCTGGGTTGACTTTCAATAATATAGAGCAATTTTTATGGTTTGATCATACTTGCATCGTTTATACCTCATTTTGACTCAACCTTAAAAAAAACCATAGACACCTTAACAGTCGCTCTAATTTTTGCCTTATGAAGGGTGTTCTGCTTCACAAACATCGGCCTTACCAGATATAATGTAAACATCATTAGCCCATGGTCCCCCCTTGCCATTTCTACATCGATTAGACCGTCCATACTTTCGGTAGGTCACGTGAGCTCTTGGACCAGTAGCACACCATCCCTGATGCTGTACAGCAAAGGCTCGGTAACCAAATCTCAGAGCAACCAGAGCACATTTCAAAATAGCGTCTGCTCGTCTCCGGTAATAGTCTTTGATAAGAATATTTTTACCATCATACCCTGGAATAGATCTTCGACTGGCATCTCGGTAGCAGCCAATTGATTTAACTGAGAAATTTCGAAATAATCACAGTGAGTTTCATAGGTAAACTAAGTCAAGAGGATAAGGCATTGTAATAGAACCAGCGATTTGGATGTATTCAGGCATTTCTTTCTTTTCCACCAGAAGAAAACAAACGAACATAAACGCAAACAAGCCAAAAAAATCTAATTGATTTCTGAGGGTGGGATCCTTTTTGACCAATAACTCTGAAACAGATAGAATTATGTCCAAGATCATTAACTTGGTGTAGTAACCTTAAAGAACGCAAGAATTAATTAGCTTATTGTTCCGTCAACATTACAGCAAGAGTCGAAAACAAGAACCAATTAACTACGAGCAATTTATGGGAAAAATACATATCATTAGTTGGGATATCTATCATGAAAAGCAGCACTTTTGTCAAGCACGAATCACTCACTTATAACTCCAGGTGTTACAGGTATTGGTTTTGCTGAAAAGAATGAAAAACAGAATAAAAAGAATTAACCAAACGTTGGAAAAAATGAAATTATTACAAACAATGTACCACACGCACAAACAATAAAGAAAACTGCTTCATTCTTACGGCGACTTCCTCCTCTGCAGTACCCCCACAGTTTGTTTTTGTTGTAGTTAGGAGCAATAACGCACCATTTTTTTCCGCGACGAGTCCTTGCGCAGCGGTTGTACCGACGCCCACGATATGTAAATGGCAGGCAGCAGTATCCTTCTTTCGTGCGAAGTTTACATTTCCCTGAAATAGAAAGCATATTTAAGGATACCTATATTGTTTTTTTATCACGATCCAGTTTTAGAAGTCCGAAGGACATAGATCAGCTCTGTTCATTACTTTTCGCTTTCTGGCACATGGTACCGATTTGAAACACGTTCGGCAAAAATACTTGCAAGCCAAAATACGATTCAGGGTTTTAGCTGGAACAGGCCCTTGTTAAGCCTAACACCGCATGCTTTACTTGTTCAGCTAAACCTCATGTTTAATTGTTAGTTACCTACAATCCTATAGACGTCATTAGCCCAAGGCCCTCCTTTGCCATTTTTGCACTTGCTTGATCGGCCATACTTTGCAAATGTCCTGTGAGCCCGAGGTCCTGATGCACACCATCCGCCATTTTGAAGACCAATGATAATGTAACCTTGCTTTACAGCTTCAGCAGCACATTTTTCAATAGCATTAATTCGTCGCTGGTAGTTACCCCTTAGAAGTCGACTTTTTCCATCCAACTGTGGAATGGCTCTGCGGGATGTATCTTTGAAGCAGCCAATTCTTTGAACTTTAATGGAGAAATAAACTTACAGCATTGTATTCAGAAAGTTTCATGTAAGAAATCATAATTCCCTGAAAGCGGCTAAGTAGAAAAAATTAATTTTACCATTACTTGGCAAAAGAAGTCATCTTATTTTGGATACTATTAAGCCAAATAACGGTGATAACTTGTGTTTATAGAACAGACAAAAACGCGGGAGTAACTTAAACTATCGCCGCTATTTCGAAAAAAGAGAAGAAGGAGAAGAAGAGAAAGGAATAAGCTCTTTAAACCAAATAAAATATATTTTTTTTAGGAAGAAGAAAACAAAATAAAGGTACTTACGTGATATTGTTGTTGTTATTCTAATAGAAACCACAGCTAAAAAGAGACAAAATGTTTATTAAAACATTATTACGGCGTGTCTTGTTATTAGCTATAAGTTGATTTAAGCAAAAGAGTTGTTAACGATCGATTTACTGAGTGGTTTATCTTTTATGGCTTAGAATGTAAGGCCGTTGATAATGATGAGGATCTAATTATTTATTCACATTAACCCAACTGCCGGTAAGAAATGAAATCTTACGTTTTGTTCCTCCACAGTAACCATACAGTTTATCTTTATCGTAACTTGAAGTAAGTGAACACCATGGTCGCCTGGATCGAACTCTAGTGCAGCTGTTGTATCTTCTGCCTTGGTAGATGAAGGGAAATACACAGCAGTCACTGCGAGAGGTTCGAGTACGGCAAGAACCTGAAGAACCCAAAAAAGTAACTGTCAGATCATTCCTTTTAAAAAGGCTACTTGTGAAATCACCAGAGCGTTTGTAGATGAAGGGAGAATTGCGAAAGTGAAAATTGCTGGGGCATAAAAGGTTACACTTAGTAATGTAAAAGTTACTAGAAACGGAGTACCCGGATACTTCCCAGAGCGAAACGAATACTCCTTGAATGAAAAGTAAAAAAATTATGCAATAAAGCAAACGTTGCTGTAAGAACTATTTTTACCTCTTAAAAGATAAACATCATTTGCCCAAGGTCCTCCTTTGCCATTTCTGCACCTGTTGGATTTTCCATAGGTCCTGTATGTTCGGTAACCAGTACGCGATGCTGCACACCATCCCCCGTGTTGCACTGCGAACAATTTATAGCCTCGTTTGTATGCAGCTAAGGCACACTTTCGTACCGCATCTTGTCTTCGTCGGTAATGACCTTTTAGCAGACGACTTCTTCCCTCCATTGTGGCTATAGCTCGGCGCTTTGTGTCTCTGTAGCAGCCCAGTCCTTGGGCTGAAATGTGAACAAGAGGAGTTGAGCAACCACAACCCGATAATTAGATGCAAAAAGACATATCCTTTTAACGATGAATGCGATCTGTCGATCTGGTGTCGTTAATTACATTACACTCTGTTTCATTCCCTTTTCAAGAACTGGAGTTAGTGCCAACTTGAAGTAAACAAAAAGCAAGTATGAATGTAAACGCTTGAAATCATTGCTCAGAAGTGAGTAAATTGTACCTTCTGTCGCCACACTGTCTGAATGCCTTGAACAGTGAGGCTAAAACGTTCACTGCATTAATCACGTTACAATCAGGACAATTGTCAGTTATAGCCAAATTGTTGTCGTGGGACAGAAAGAAACACAATACACCACTGAGCAAAAGTTGATCCAAAAATGTTTTTATTTTTGCATCTTCTTTGCAACTCTCTTTTGTTAGGTTACATCGCAAGAACGTGTACTCCCTACAACGTATGCGTGACTGAAAATTGACATTTGCAGTACCGGCTACGCTCAGATCCTGCGCCACGGACTGTAAAAATGTGCGCACTATTTTAGCAGAACTGGAATAGGCCATTTCCTAGTTAACCGCGCCCCTGTTTCAAAACAAGGTTAAGTGCTCAGCCTTTGATATGAAAATGATTTTTCATTCTTATGGAAATAAAACTCATTTTCACAAGAAAGGTTGTGTGCACTTGGCCTCATTTTGAAAGTGAGGGTTTCTGGAACTCGGAAGTGGCCTATTTACAGAACCTTAATTTTGAAAGCCACCAATTTTCTTGAAACTCGGAAGATAGTTGGCACAATAACAAGTAAAACTCACCTTTTAATCCAACGGTGACGCGAATAACCCGCGCTAGACGAAAATAAAAAAAGATGGTTTGTAAGTACATAAATTCAAACATGATTGTTTAAGTCAGTTCTATAACAGAACGCAAAGAGGGATAGCACAAATCAAGCTAAAGCAAATTTTAAAGGAGTATAACTGAAGACGGATGACTTTTCTCTGTGAACAAAGTTGCATTATTTTAAAGTTGGCCAACTACGTAGAAGCACCAACAATTAATACACCTGTTTATCATGTACATACATATGTTCGCGTTCATGATGTCGGTCTGTTTTTCACACATGTATGTTGCTTAAGTTTTAAAAAACGACAACTGACCTCTTGGAGGAGGAACTACCGGCCTCACTGGGCGAACTGGTTTGCGACCTACAAAAGAAGAGACGGGTATTAGTTTCCACATTAACAGTATTGTGTGGAAATCTATTAACATCAACCAAATCTGAGGAAGAATTTCTTACGATAACAATTGCCCCATTTCTTGTCTCGATCGTAGTTGGGTGTCAAGGCGCACCAGGGTCGATTGTGTTTTCTTCTGGTACAACTGTAATAACGACGACCTTTGTAGATGAACGGGAAGGCACAGCAATAACGTGATGTTGTTTTTCTTCGACATTTGCCTGTTAGGGGAAAAGGAAATATGCGTTAAGGCAATAGGCCTGCTAGCCGCCGTAGCATGAAACAAAAGAAAAAAACCATAGCAACAACAACCTGATATGGTTGAATCAAATTAACAGAATACAAATGAAAATTATAATAAATTGATAGCAACAAAAGAAGGCAAGTTACTCTGATAGACTGTGCGCATGATTAAGACTTAACTGTCTTAAGTCGAGGAAAAACAAATATGCGCCAGCTGAGTTATTATACTTGTATAACTATCTGATCACTGGCTCAAATTAATAATGAAAGCATTTATGACACCTGATATACTGTAAACGTCATTTGCCCATGGGCCTCCTTTGCCGTTTCTGCATCGTCTTGAAGGTCCGTACTTCCGATAGGTCACGTGTGCTCTTGGACCTGTTGCACACCATCCCTGGTGTTGTACAGCAAAGACTTTGTAGCCTCGCCTTGCGGCTACCAAAGCGCATTTCTTGATAGCATCGAGTCTGCGTCGATAGAAGTCTCGGACGAGAATATCTTTTCCATCCATTTGTGGGATGGCACGTCGGCTGGTGTCTTTGTAGCAACCAAGAGGCTTGACTACAGATTTAAAGTGCTAGGTGTGAGTAAGAAGTAGTGCGCTTTCGGATGTAGAAGAGTAAATAACAATTAAATTAAGTAACAATTTTTCCATTGATGAATAACTAGGGAGTTTTCATTTAAACAGCCAAGGGCTTGTGCAAAAACTGACCGACTTAAAAATTTAAATAGACCACTACAAAAAAAGGCATACACACACACGCACACACACATACACCAACACGCGCACAGTAAAACATACCGGTAATTGGCATTTATAATGACTTAATTTAATTTTTATTAATGATTTCAGTGGTTGTTGGTCTAGATTTTGTAGTAGCTGTTTTTAGTTCGCTTCTTAACCTTTTCCACAAAATTGAATCGTTAGGTGTATTAGCACCAGGTTTTAAACATAAATAAAAATACTCTAACATAAAACTTCTTGTGAATAAAAGGGAGTGAACCGTTTCCATGGTTACTCGCTGATAATCCATGCCGTAAAAATTCTGTTGGCCAGAACCTCTTTAGAATCTCTAATTTGATAGTTTCTTGTTGGCCCAAAGCTCTATTGTTTCAGAGCTGGGGTTCATTGTTAGTTTTTCTTTCTAAACCAATCCTGTGAACCGTTCTTAGAGCTTGTAATAATTTTTATCCTTTTTTAAGGATATTTTTCTATTAGCTTAGTTAGGGCTAGTTTAAAGTATTTTAAACATATTTTTATACTTCTTTTTATCCAGGGCCTCTAAGAATATCCGTTTTTGTAACTGTAGGAGTTACCCTAGCTAAATAAAAGTATCTTCTTCTTCTTTTTTTGGCCCACCCTAAAAATCAATGCGTACACCACCCGGAATTCCCATTGTAGCGCGCACGTGCGTGGTGGGGCTAGCAGATACATAAATTTCAAAAAAGGCGGTTCGAACTAAAGAAAAGAGTCAAAAATGATTAAAACAGGAAAAAAGATTACCAGTGATTCCATGGGTCACTCTAATGGACGGAGCTGAAGAAAAAAAAAGATAGATAATTAAATAGAGGTTGATGTAAATGTTACAACGTAAAAATAACATCAGTCAGCAGGTCTACAACTCTGGGACTAACGTCAGCTATTCACCAGGAGAAACTAAGGGTCTAGAGAAATTGCGGTTGAATACTTACATCTCTTTCCCCGGCAGTACCCCCAACGTTGCCCTTTTTTGTAACCTGGGACAACGGGACACCAAGGCCTGCTACTTCCTCTACTGGTGCAAGAGCGGTACTTGCGCCTGAGATACACGAACGGGAACACGCAACAGTTTCCCTGAACCGTTCGTTGTCGGCATCTCCCTGTGGAAAGAATTGAATTTATTTTGTGATGTAGCAAATTCAGTTTGGCTTGATAATTAGTACAAATGTATGACACTGGCTTTGTCTATTTTTCGTTTCTTTTAACGATAAAACTTTTTATCCAAAGTCTTTTCTAAGAGTCAATAAGATTTAAGTTCAATAAATTTTCGTGTATTTTGAGTGTAGAATAAAGCAAAATTTGACAACTGTAAGCCTGTGCTAGAGAATGACGGGAGAAAGCCGACTATAAAAAGTGTTTACCTGATATCCTATAGACGTCATTAGCCCAAGGTCCTCCCTTTCCATTTCTGCATCTATTGGATCGTCCGTACCTCCCAAAGGTTCTGTGAGCCAAAGGTCCTGACGCGCACTGGCCACTATGCTGGACTCCAAGCACTGAGTAACCCCGCCTAATGGCTACCAAGGCACACTTTCTTATGGCATGTCTTCTTCTTTGATAGTTTCCTCTCAAAAAAGGACTTTTGCCTTCAAGTATGGGAATGGCTCTGCGCGACGTGTCTTTAAAGCAACCAATTCTGTGAACTAACCCAAGACAGAGAGAAAACATTTGGAGGTGAAAACCGTAGGTCAAGGACATCATATCTTTAAATGTTTTGGCTACTTTAAAAGAGGTTGTATTAGTGAGGGTTACAGGTAAAAGACGTACAAGGTTTAATTTCCCATTCACTGTCGACATAAAACTAAACTAAATCATATCCAGATTGGTGTCTTCCGAACCCGGGAGCATATTACTCACGTGTTATAGACGTCGTTATTTTGATAGGTCGTACAGCTGAAAAACAAAAAAAATAAATATTTCAAGGTTAATGCTGTTCTGATAAACTCTAAAATCAGACCTTACGTCGACCCTGTATTTCTTCCATAAAGATGATATATCCTAAATCAAGATGATTTTATGATTGTCGTTGTTGTTTTTGTTATTCACCGATAACTAAACAGCGAGACAATCTTTAATGGCATCTGATCCCGAGGACCTTAATCAAGGGAGGCTGTCTACCACAACATTAAACCTAACGTAAGTTTGTTCCATTGTTCCTGGTGAGGTAGGACTACCTCTTGGTTTGTAATGAAGAAAGTGTACTGAAAAATTATACAATGTCAAGACGGCTACATGGTATTATGTAATTCGTAATAGCGAATGGACCATTTCCTTTTTGTCCCTGTTTTCTCAGTGATATGCATTTTAAGAACAATGATCTAAATCTCACGTTTTTGTCCTCCACAGTATCCATATATCTTATCTCTATCGTAATTTGGTGTGAGAGAGCACCACGGTCGTTTGGACTTAAATTTGGTACACCGGTTGTATCTTCGCCCTTGGTAAACAAAGGGGAACATGCAGCAGTTACCAGTTGAGGAACGTACTCGACATGAACCTAAAACAAGACAAACGTGGGCGCAAATAAGTTCATGAAGCGTTGATTAATCTGATTAAAATGTTATTTTTGATCTCTAATGGTCAATATCTAAATACCGCCAATACTGTCAATGCCCTAACTCAAAAATAAAAGCCAGATGGACACCGAAGATTACTTTCTAAGAAATGGTTGGAGAAAAGAAAACGCCGCCAAGAATTAACGCATTGTTGAGAACAGAGAAAAGCTATGTTAGTGAAATATCTCTAACAGGAAATACTTCCTTCTCAAAATATTACTTTGCCAAAAAAAAAAGTGTTTAACGTGCGTAATATTTACCTCTGAGGACATACACATTGTTCGCCCAAGGTCCTCCTTTACCATTATTGCACCTGTTGGATCTTCCGTATCTACCATAAGTCAGATGCGCTCTCTTTGATGAAGCACACCACCCTCCATGCTGTACCGCGAAGATTCTAAACCCTCGTTTTAAGGCAGCAGAAGCACACTTTTGAATCGCGTATAGTCTCTTGCGGTAATTTCCTTTAAGAAGGCGACTTTTACCCTCCAAAGTTGAGATGGCCCGCCGACTGGTGTCTCTATAGCACCCAATGCCCTTCGCTATTTAAGAAAGAAAAGCATTACAAGTAAGGGATTTATAGCTCAAGCCTAGACTTTTAAGCTCTGATTAAAACTAAAAAATTTAAATGTACTAAATTTAAAGCAAAAGAAAGAGCAAAATTTAGAATGAAAGTCGATCAGTTTTGACTATAGAGAGCTATAACATTTACAGAATGTTAACGCTGTTTCTTTAAATTTAGATTAGGGAGCCAAGAATCATGTCATAAGTTGAGCTTAATCCTAAAGTTGTGACGTAAGCAAGTCTTCCAATGTGTGTACGGTGCTATGATGACTTTACAAGGGGTTAGATAAATAAATACAGAAAATAGAAGAAAGGCTGTGCATTACTCCTTATGAGGACTACCCTTGCTCTTTAAAGAATTTTACGCCTACATGTTGGCTGAATACATACGCATGCGCTATTGATGAAGCGTGAATGCAAAGAAAGAACTAGACCGAAATGCAACTATCTTGACCTAAAAAAGTTGATCGATAATGAATTATTAAGTGGCCAAAGAAACTGTTTTTTCGCGGACAGAAAGCAGGCAATCCTGAGAAGACAAGATGGGCCGAGCCATCTTAGACTTACCTACTACTCCAATTGTGATTCTTACAGTTCGTCCTGAAAGGAACAAAGAGACCCGAATTAAAGGATAACGATTTTAAGTTGAATAGCCCTTTTTGTCCTGCCCCTCTACAAAAAATATACCCTAACAAGAAACAATATTGTTTTGGGCTTGCTCTCTTTGTTGGGAATGGTGTTCAGCAAATAAATCAAGAGACTCAAACCTCGCTTTGGATAAACTTTGGCTGTATGGCTGGCCACATAGCTGCTTTAAAAATCGTTTCGACTCAATATCAATTACAGACCAATGACACGAATCCCTACCTATTTAAGGTGAGGGCAAAAATCAAAGGTATATATATGGCTAGGACCAGGGTTGGGGGGTGTTGAATGAGTAAAGAAAAGTAAAGATCGGTTATGTCGAGTCCTTCCAAAACCAGGGGAACTAGTTAGATCGCCTAGAGAGTTCCTGGAATGTTCAATATGATTCACCCCGAACAAAAAATACCTATGATAGCATAAAATTTTTATTGTCTAAGGGACAATAATTTCTTTATCACCATACATAAATTATAAAAGCAAGCGGTAGGGGGGGGGGGTAAGTTCAATGTAATCCTTTAATTGTTCTGTGATATTCTCAGGGGGATGAATTTTGCTCAGCGTAATAGCTAAGTACTGTGGGAAAAGTTTTAGACTGCATCCAACTTGCTTTGTTTATCCTTTCCGCATTGTGTATATCAAAGGTTCTTTCTGTCAATATCAATAAACATCGGAGCGCGGTATGTAGAGGGAAATCGTGTGCATTTACCTGAAATATGATGATATCTTTAGGCTATGTGAAAGTATATTCTGTTATTGTTTACCCGAGCTGTTTCACTAAGCAATAGACCACACTTTCTATGGGTTTACCGGCGTGATAACTCACTTGGGATGTTGGGAGAACACGAGAAAAGCTTGTAAATCACGAGCCGCTTTCTAGTGGGTTATCACGCCGGTAAAGCCAAAGAAAGTATGGTCTATTGCTTTTATAAAATAACTTGAAGTTTCCCGAGTTTAGCGGCACAATAAACCATAGGTTTTTAACCAATCAGAACGCGCGTACTATCTTCGTTATTTTATAATTTGCTTTATAACACAATTCAAAATAATTACATTATAATTCAACATGCCGCTGTTTAAAATCTTCCCAAATGATTGCCACTTGATGAAATAATACAATAAACATCTTGTTAAATATTTTTTTTTTTACATCTGGAGGTCAATAAATCAGATCGTGGAAATAAAGGGGGGAAATAGAAGAGAAAAAAAATTAATACCATCACCTTGAGACCACATCTAGGGCTATATGTGAGCAAATTTTTATGTAGATAAACGCTTTATTTTCAAAGACGTAAATACGGTGCTTCATTTTTTTAACGGGTAGAACTGTTGCTCATTTTCGAGTTTAGAGTCAATCAGTCAAATATCTGCAACTGCCCGTGCAAAATTTTAATCGTTATTCTAACCTTTCGGACGCACCACTGGTTTAACAGGCTTGACAGGTCGACGGCCTGCAACGGGACATAATAAATGTTAGTATTTTCTCTCATTAGCAAGCAAACTAACTAGTAAAATCCAAAAATAAAAAGTTCATGTTTGTTTGGCAGGAGTTCTTCAGACAGCCAAACATTCTTTAAACCTTAAATTTATCCTGTCACCAGGGTCAGGTTGCTTTTAAATCGTCAGTAGCGTGTAGTGTGTCAGAAGTAGTTATTTACGGCCTTATCTTTCATAGAATATATGGACAAAAATGATTTTAATAGAAAGTTCTAATACCTGCGCAATTGTCCCATTTCCTGTCTCGATCGTAATTCGACGTTAAAGCACACCATGGTCGGTTATGTCTCCTTCTCGTACATTTGTTGTACCGTCGACCCTTGTAGATGAACGGGAATGAACAACAATATCGTTTTGCCGTCCTCTTTCGGCAAGTGCCTGTAAAAAGGGATGAATCAGATCCACAATATACAGGTCTACCTTGTGGTCCATAATCAGCCAACAAGGCTGTGGTGAACGGCGCAAATTACATCTTGCCGTTATTGAGGAAATTTTATAACTCACCTCAAGATTATTTTATTTTTTGGGGTGTTCTCGACGTTTAGCCAAGCCCAGAGAGTACAGATTCTTGTTTGTCCCACTCACTTTAAGTCGAAATTATCAGCCCCATCCCTCTTTATTCTACATTTCTACCCGACGAAAATAACAATAAAAAATTGAATGGTCCTGAAAACACTAAACGACTTACTTACCAGAAATCATGTAGACATCATTAGCCCATGGCCCACCTTTGCCGTTTCGACATCGATTAGACTTTCCGTACTTCCGGTAGGTTACGTGAGCCCTAGGACCAGTAGCACACCATCCTTGATGCTGTACAGCAAAGGCCCTAAAGCCGTACATTACAGCATACAACGCACACTTCTTGATGGCTTCGCTTCGTCTTCGGTAGTAACCTGTAAGTAGAGGACCACGGCCGTCTACACCTGGAATGGCCCTGCGAGATGTGTCTTTGAAGCATCCAATCCGCTTGACTGTAAAAGAAAATCAAATTCAAACTTACTTGTTTAAGAAAACGCATAAGCATCAATAAAGAGCCCTTGACTTAAACTTATGTACTTAAAAACTCTTCCCTCAATTAAAGCTTTTTTAGACTCAACAGGTGAAGGACAGCAGACTAGACGTGTACTTACTTCTAACTCCAGTGGTAACCTTGATTGGTGGAGCTGTAAAAGTACGTTAAGATACAGTCAAATGACAATACTTATCAGGCTAAGGAAAGCTTTCAACAGAACTATGAAGTATGTCCTTACACTTTCTGTACGGAATCAGATTCAAACAGGTCAATCTCCTTCACTTTTTATCACTTTTTTTAGTTTTTGCAAGTACATCAAATATTGTTTTATACGGCTGTCATATAAATTAAGAGTTTTCTTCGCTATAGGAAGTTGTGTAAATGAAATACGACAAATAGTTCTTCTTGCAAGTAAATAACCAGGGTTCTAACATAAACATACCAAATACTTTTCCCATAATAATCTCAGTGCTATACTTTATCATAATAAAACCTTTAGAAAACAAAAAATAAAAACAAGAAACAAAAACAGGGTGGAAGAAAGAAAGGCCTTACATCGCGTTCCACCCCTGCACCACCCCCAGAGTCTGTTCCTTCGATAATCAGGGGTGACATAACACCACTTCCTTCCGCTTCGATGTCTCGCGCAACCATTGTATCTGCGTCTGCGATAGATGAATGGCACACAACATTCGCCTGAGATGGTGCGATGTCTGCAGGTTCCTACATTAGATTTAAGAGTGCGCGTTAAAAAACCGGAGTTTATTGTGTCATGCACAGTTAAGATTAAGCCATTAGGAGGAATGAAGTTTAAACAGACGATTTCATGGTAGAAGTAAATCAGTAGAGGCTTTAAAACGCTAGCTTACATAAACAGCAATCAAGTTGTTAGGAGTGTAAATAAGCAAACAAGAGTAGCAAATATAACGAGCTGTCATTATGTTGGGCTGTTTTCAATTCTCTTCTCCTTGCCTGGTGCATGAAATATTGTATAAGATGATATGTCCTGGTCAAGGCTTTAAATTACAACCACTTATGTCCAGGGAACAGAAATAGGGACTTTAAAAATATTTTCTTATTAAATGAAACGTTAAAGAATTTACTTTAATGAAGATTTTTTCAACAAAAGTTGCAAAAATAAGATGTCTTCCTCTCACCAGAAATTCTGTAGACGTCATTTGCCCAAGGTCCTCCCTTTCCACTTCTACATCTGTTTGAACGTCCGTACTTTCCAAATGTTCTGTGAGCCCGCGGTCCTGATGCACACCAACCTCCATTCTGAACACCAATCACTGAAAAGCCTCGTTTTACAGTTTCGAGAACGCATTTTTGAATTGCATATGTTCGTCGTTGGTAGTTTCCCCTTAGAAGTCGACTTTTCCCATCCAGTTGAGGAATAGCTCTGCGAAATGTGTCTTTAAAGCAGCCAATTCTTTGGACTACAAAGCAACCAAAATGCAGTTAAAATTTAAAAACGCGAAGAAGGTTAAATGAAATAAAGCATTGATTCTTGATAGTTTATGCCATAGGATCCTAACAGATCAGAAATTATAAATTAATCTCATAAGACTCGACATGGACAATCTCCAACCAACAGCGGTTTTTAAAAAATTCAAGTAAATAATCGTTATTCCTCATGGATTTTGGACTTCCTTATTATAGCTTAAAAGCTGCAAATAAAGAAGTCCAATTTAAAAATTTAATGTGCTATTTAAAAATTGCTTGTTGATAGAACTCACCAGTTATTGAAGGTACCACACGTATGATAGGCGCTGCAGGGAAGAAAGAAAATCACTTTTAGGACATGTGAATTGAATTGCCTTAACTGACTCATGTACTTATCTCTCTCACTCACCTTTTCGTCCGCCGCAGTAACCATACAGTTTGTCTTTATCGTAACTTGAAGTGAGTGAACACCATGGCCGCTTGGATCGAACTCTGGTACAGCTGTTGTATCGTTTGCCGCGGTAGGTGAACGGAAACGCACAACAGTTACGGCGAGAGGTTCGAGTGCGGCAAGAACCTGAAAACAGAAAAAGCCAATAAAGCTTAATATACCAGCGTATAAAACTTACCTTGACAAAAAAGCTTTATAATTTCAGACGCAATTAGCCATGATGAACACCCATCTGTTGCTCAGTAGATATTCCGCTTTTTCTCAACGTCTGCTAAGTTCGCAAACCCATTTTATATATGGTTTCCGCACATCTCATGCATTCCAGAATCCAGGTGCTTAAATGCGCAAAAAAAACGGCCCAAAGCCTTTTTGTCTAAGACGTTCAAAAAAGTAGTCGTCGAGGAGTTTACTTCAGTAAGGTGTTTTATCTCTTACTGTTGTTCGTAAAACAAAACATATTAAAGTACCTCTCAATACATAAACAGTATTGGCCCAAGGTCCTCCTTTTCCATTTCTACATCTGTTTGATTTTCCATATCTACGATACGTCAAATGAGCTCTCCTAGATGATGCACACCACCCCTGATGTTGCATCGCAAACACTTTGTAGCCTCGCTTTTCTGCGGCTAGAGCACATTTTTTGATCGCGTCTCTTCTTCGGCGGTAATATCCTTTCAGAAGGCGACTTCTACCCTCAAGAGGGGATATGGCTCGTCTACTTGTATCTTTATAGCAACCAATGCTATATGCTGCAAGAAAAAAAAAACAATTACGTTACCTGCACGCCTAACGCTGTGTTATAATTGATATGCTCCATTCTCGCATAGGACTACAAGAGGCCCCAGAGGAGGGACAATTCAGGGTGGTCAGATATGCTCCATAATGTGCTGGGACATGAAGGATGTTTTGTGTCTATCATATATAGTAATCTATTATAAGTTCAACCCATTCATGGCATTCGGACTTAAAGTATAACCCTGTGAGTAGTTTACACATCCAAGAAGCTCAAGAGTACTTACCTAGCAATCCTGTTGTCACCTTTATGACACGAGCTGTAAGATAAAAAATACAACATAACTTTAATTGCCAAGAAAAAACACACAAATAAACCATTGTATATACTCAAATTAGCCGCAAACAGCTCAAAACTAACCTCTTGGAGGGCGGACAATTGGTGGGTTTGGTCGAACAGGCTTCCGTCCTAAGAGAGAAATAATTATTTTAAGATCCTTTACAGAACAAAGTTACTACATTTGTTAAAATTCTTACGTCTAGCACAGTTGCCCCATTTCTTGTCTCTATCGTAGTTGGGTGTCAGTGCGCACCATGGTCGACTGTGTCTTCTTCTGGTACAACTGTTATAACGACGACCCTTGTAGACGAACGGGAACGCACAGCAATAACGTGTTGTTGTCCGTCTTCGGCATATGCCTAAATAAAAAGAAATTCAAAAAACATATTTTGAAAAGAATACTATTAAAATTTCATAGTTCGGAAACCATTAGGTCCAACTCGCCACCTTTAAAGTAGCGACCTTTTTAAAAACCATCCTTTCAACATCATTGAAACTGGACGTAAGTATTGAGGTACTTTTCCTGACAGACGACACTAAATACTGGCCATATGTGATTGATGATAAGAACTGAGTAACTTTCCTAAAACTTCCAAAGCTGGCAACCACAATGTCCTTGAACTCACCTGCTATTTTGTAAACATCGTTAGCCCAGGGTCCTCCTTTGCCATTTCTACATCGATTAGACCGTCCATACTTCTTGTAGGTCACGTGGGCTCTTGGACCAGTAGCACACCATCCCTGATGCTGTACAGCGAAGACTCGGTAACCAAATCTCAGAGCAAGCAGCGCACATTTTAAGATAGCGTCAGCTCGTCGTCTGTAGTATCCTTTCACTAATGAGTTGCGTCCATCCATTTGTGGGATAGCTCGGCGGGCCGTGTCCCTGTAGCATCCAAGTGAATTGGCTAAATGTAAAGAAACAATTGTGTCCATTTAAATTATGATCCAGAAAACAAACTAAATCAGTGACGTACAGTATCCTGAGTTACTGGATGTGTAGCAGGTTCTTAACAAAATTGGATTTCTGTTGAACTGGAGCTTACGGACGTTTATAGCAAACAAACGACACGGTTGATAGTTTACATAGCCAATTTTGGTCGAAGAATTGTTTTGCTTGTTGTGAAAAGCATCTCAGTAGGGAGAGCAGTATTATCCAATCCTGTCGGGGAAAGAGGGGACTACTCAAGAATAATAAGTACTACTTTTTGTTAGTAAGGTTCCTGCAAAGTCAACAAACTACTCTTTAACTGATACTCCAAACAAAAAGCTTACCTTTAACATATGGCGTGATTCGTATCGGTCGAGCTGTAAAGAGGAAATAGGTGATAAATAAGCAGGTTTAAAAGGAACATTTCAGAATTTTAAAAAGTGAACAAAGAAAACTAACTTGAAATTTTTTTATATGAATGGTTGTTTCCAGTGCGGAGCGGCAGAAACTGTTTAGAAAAAATTAGTTTTCTAAGAGATGAATTCTTGTTGGAAATATCTTGGTTACCATGATAGCCAGAAGTTTACGGTGTATAGCTAAAAAATTAACTGCACGTTTGTTTTTGTCCCGTTATTATCCTTCTTATTGTTTTGCTCTGTATCTCTTTTAGTGTTAATGATTTTATGCGTTAGGGTAATTGACTAAAGCTATATTAGATAGCATAGCCACCTCCCTCATGCAGACAACCGTCACTCACTGCAATTGCCACGCTCTTTCCTGTGGGCCAAATTTCTTTTTACTCACTGCAAGGTTAACTACAAATGGAGTGTAAAATCACGAGAACAAAGAACGAGTAAATAATTCAAAATTGTAGTGATTGTAATAGGTGCATCCTTACGTTTTTGTCCCCCTCTGCAGTATCCCCAATGTTTTTTGTCCGGTGTGATATAGCACCACGCCTGTCCGCGGCGATTTTTGGCACATCTATTATATCCGCGACCGCGGTACGTGAAAGGAAATACGCAGCAGTATCCTTGAGTCGTCTTACGTGTACACTTGCCTATAACATGGAGAACGAACAGTTTGAATTAATGAATAAGATTGCCTCAACCAATGTTAATTGTCGAGTCCATGGTCGAGTGTCGACAAAGGAAAAAATGCGCTGCGTGCGTGAGAGCCAATCATTTTTAACAATCATTTTAAGATTCTTAAACTTCTTAAAGACAAAAAATCTACTGGAAAAGGCGCTTGGTTTCTTATGTGAGGACCTCTTTAATCTTTTTTCCCTGTCGTTCAAGCACAAACACTTTAAACAATGTTGAACCAACTACCTGTTCATTAGCTAACTGTATTTTGGTCCGGGAAATATATTTGAAGAATTTTGTGGCCAAGATATTTAAGCGCTTTGAATATCCGGTCCAGATGATCGAAAAAAAGTTAATTTTGAATTGAGTTCTATACAGTTTATCAACTTGTGTTAATGTTTCTCGTATTTCAGTACATCTCTGAAAACGAGGCTAGAAAAAGCAGCAGTAAAGCGCACTTGAATGCAAGTATCAAGGCAAATTTGTCAATAAAATGGAAGGAATGTATACCTGATATCCTGTAGACGTCATTAGCCCATGGTCCTCCCTTACCATTTCTGCATCTGTTGGATCTTCCATACTTTGCAAAGGTCCTGAAAGCTCTGGATCCTGATGCACACCAGCCGCCATTTTGAACTCCAAAAACTGCGTATCCTCGTTTAATGCTAGCATAAGCACATTTCTGAATAGCATAACGTCGTCTCTGGTAGTTACCTCTCAAAAACACACTTTGACCATCTAGCTGTGGAATGGCTCTACGATATGTATCTCTAAAGCATCCGATTCTCTGGACTATAAGAGATGAAAATTAACTTTCGATAATGTTACAAAAATGTTCATTTTTAGCCATTTTTTTAAATGTCTGACTTTAGAAGGAAATTTAAATATACGCAATTAAAGAGTCCTCTTTAAAAGAGGGAGAAGTATAAGTTGGTTGAAATGATGATTCGGAGAGTAGACTTACTTCTAATAGAAGGCGTCATCTTAATGGGTCGCACTGCGGACAGGAACAGATAATAAGGGTCAGTAACGGATCTTCCGCAAAACTTCAAATAATAGCCCGCGTTAGAAATCACTTTCTAATTATTCGGTGGATGGCACAACGCATTTTTTAACACCTTCTACTTAAGGGTGTTTTGCTGCTTAAAATTATACGCCAAGGAAACAAGTAATGCCATCAAATTCAGCAGTCACATATTTCCACCTTGAGAAATATGGATATAATCAAGCTACAAGAAGTCATTTTACTGCGTAAACATGAATTTTTTCCCCATTTGTTTTTTCAGAATATGGGCAGGCTGCTCAGCAGAGAGCCCATAATATATAAGAAGCAGTTGCAAACTTTTATAGGTTTAGGCAGGTTTCCGTAACAACTTGAGAGAAAGTAATAAATGCGAGTTCAACGATTAGTTGTTGCCTGAAAAAGTCATCAGTGTTCAGAAGTCTTTGAAACGAAAGCCGCTGTTCTTACTTCTGTCTATCAACAATTTCCCTGTTACCTGTGCGGCGACCACAGAAGCCATATAGTTTATCTGCATTATAATTCGGAGTATTTGCACACCAAGGGCGCCTGGAATTAACACGGGTGCAGCGGTTGTATCGTTTTCCTTTATAAATGAAAGGGAATACGCAGCAAATACCGTTTGAAGAACGCTTGCGGCATGACCCTGTCAAAAAACACCATAATTAAAGAATGATTGAATTTTGTTTTATTTAGAATATTGGAAAGAAAAAGTTTCGTTAAATCCAGAAAATGGCTCATATTAGGTCAGTGTTTGTAAGGTGGAACCACCTAAAGAGGTAGCCCTAACCCAAAAACCATTATGCTGAACCTACTGAAAATTTAAATTAATATCATGGCAAAGAGCCAGAGCGCGGGAATGTACTTCTGCGGAGCAAAAATGATAATGCAAGCATGCCTATGATGTGGTTACCTTTTAAAGCAATGCTCCATCTAAGGGGACTCTAATCATCTTTTTAGTACTTGTAGCAATTTCAGAAATATTATAAAGACAGTGAAAATTTGCATTGAGACTTCAAACTTGCAAGCACAGGACAAAATGTGTGTCTTTAAATTCGTATGATGCTATACCTCTCAGGACATAAACATCATTGGCCCAAGGTCCTCCTTTTCCATTTCTACATCTGTTTGATTTTCCATATCTGCGATACGTCAAATGAGCTCTCCTAGATGATGCACACCATCCTTGATGCTGTACTGCAAACACTCTGAAACCACGTTTCTGAGCAGCAAGGGCACATTTACGAATAGCGTATTTCCTACGGCGATAGCTTCCTCTTAAAAGCCGACTTCTGCCTTCTAAAGATGGTATGGCCCGTCGGCTTGTGTCTCTATAGCAGCCGATGTTGTATGCTGAAACGAAAAGAAGTGCAGGATGTTATCCTGCACGTGGGCCATCTTGAGGGAGTAAGGGCCCAGTCCTGGATCAACGCAATTTTAGAGGTGGTGTTGTAAGGATTAAAATTCACCTCGCTAAAAAAATACTGAAATTGAGGTTTCCATTGTATTATTTTTGTAAATTAAACTGAAGAAAATTAGCGAGAAAGCTAAATACTAGGACATTTAAATAAGTTCATTCATTCATTCATTCATTCATTCATTCATTCGTTCATTCACAGGGATGAATTCCTTATTTTCGCGCCGCGCAAAAAAGGAAAACGTTAATGTACAACTCAAGTCACTTGTTTGCATGCGATACAAGGAAATTGACATTGCAAAGCACTCTTTATTTTTCCTCGGTCCAAAAAAGTGTCGATTGTTCCTTGATTCACAAATTCTTTAGAAGGTCATGACAGTAGTAAGGCCTCATGCTCCTGAAACTAACCATTTCACGGAAATAACTATGGTTTGGATGACCCCGCTAAACTCACCCTTTAAGCTTGCGGTAACTCTTATGACCCTCGCTGAAAAATAAAAATAGGGCATAAACTCAGAGTAACAGAGTAATCAGAAATCTCCGCTAGCTAGTATGATTGCACATTTGGGCAAGAAAATCACCGTACAAATCAGGACAGTAAAAAATAAATTATACCTCCTTTGTGGGGCATAGCAGGTGGGACTGGTCTCACAGGACGTCGACGTTCTAGAAAAAAGAAAGGCAAAGCGAATATTTCATCATAACTGTACATCGTACTTTTGTACCCAAAAATTATGCTACTGTTTAAACACCCCAAAATTGGTCATAACTTAAATGCGTTTTGTTCATGGCAGATCAGGCCTTATCATTTCAAGACTAACAGGCATGTGTTTGTTCTTTTTTACTGGAAATTTTTGTAACTAGTTATTTGCATAACTATAAAATGTTTAAAAAGACCCTTTTTAAACTGCTTTCTGTCTTCAGCTTCAAAAGTAATCAGTTTTTTAGCAGAAAAAGGTGTGACTTACTGGCGCAGTTGCCCCATTTCTTATCTCTGTCGTAGTTAGGTGTCAGAGCACACCAGGGTCTATTGTGTCTTCTTCTAGTACAACTGTTATAACGTCTGCCTCTGTAGATGAACGGGAACGAACAGCAATAACGAGAAGTGGTTCTCTTTCGGCAGGTTCCTGGAGAGTTAGAAATACAATATGTTGCTTATTTGAAGCAATATTACATAAGAAATGCAGAATAGTTCAGCTCTATTCTTAGAGGGCCACTTGTTAATGTACACATTTTTCCAGCAGATTATATCTGGAGCAAAAGCTAGAAACCTGGATCAAAGACGCAAACCCAGATATTGAGGACATGCAAACAGCAACAAAGACAGAAGTTTGTCCAAACGGTCACTGTAATTATAACTTTTGTTCTCATAAAACGCATCCGTGTCTAACGACGTTACATTTTTTCAAAATCAGACCTAAGTTTTCGGCAAAGAAGTGGTTTGCGCTAGCAGTGAACATCTTTTTTTAAACAATCTTACCGGTTATTTTGTAAACATCGTTAGCCCAGGGTCCTCCTTTGCCATTTCTACATCGATTAGACCGTCCATACTTTCGGTAGGTCACGTGAGCTCTCGGGCCAGTAGCACACCAACCCTGATGCTGTACAGCGAAGACTCGGTAACCAAATCTCAGAGCAACCAGCGCACATTTTAAGATAGCGTCAGCTCGTCGTCTGTAGTATTCTTTCACTAATGGGTTTCGTCCATCCATTTGTGGGATAGCTCGACGATGCGTGTCCCTGTAGCATCCAATTGATTTAACTGAGGTTTGGAAAAGATTATTAGAGATTAAATCTTTGGCTGTGTTTCTGGGATTCTAGGGAACTCTGTTATTTTCCCCTCAAGGGCATAGTGAAAAGTGCCCAGATAAAAATATCGATTAAATTTCGAAAAAGAAATAGTTCCTAAAGAACACAAGTAAGATTTTTAGAAGCAAGCTAAAACAAACAAACAAACTGAGAATCTTCGAGATCGCACTCAGGGCAGCCCCGAATAATATAAATTACTCACTTAATACTCCATGTGTCACTCTGGTTGGTTTCGCTAAAAATGAACAACAGATTCATATGAATAAAAATCGCAAAGTTATGCCCTATTATTTTGTTGAAACGTCCATTACGAAACCGCCAGTACCGCCGGTTCTATAATGTTACCAGCGATTTTTCTCTCTTTAATTCAATTAGGATTAAAAGGAAACGACAAGATAAATATTTCATGACCCACAATGCAAATTGTAAGCTGTAACAGTAGCACATTCAGAAATAGATTGTTCAAAGACAAGAAGGGTGTGAAACCAAATAAAACACAGGGTCTTACGGCGATTTCCTCCTCTGCAGTACCCCCACAGTTTGTTTTTGTTGTAGTTAGGAGTAATTGCGCACCATCTTCTTCCGCGACGAGTTCTTGCGCAGCCGTTATAGCGACGCCTGCGATAAATGAACGGAAAGCAGCAGTATCCAGTTGTAGTGCGTTGCTTACAATTTCCTGGGAAATAACGCATGACAAAAGATCTGGTTCAAATTAATGATTACAATTGAATATCTGTCTAAGATAGCTAGTTACACATCATGCGATTTTAAGTAAGCATGACTTCAGGCGTACCCTCTGATTAGGTTAGTAGTTTAAGTGTAGCTACCTTTTTAAAAGGGTAAGACTTAAAAACATACTTTAGACTTCCGGTTTTTTGCCATTAACTGAAACAACGCAATAACTTGCACAATAGACATTTTTCTTAATTACTACGTAAAAAAACTCAATTTAATAGTGCTGCCACTATTGGTTCTTTATTGACTAACCTGAAATACGATACACGTCATTAGCCCAAGGCCCTCCTTTGCCATTTCTGCATCGGTTGGATCGTCCATACTTTGCATACGTTTTTTGGGCCCGAGGTCCAGATGCACACCAACCACCATGCTGGATTCCAATCATGCGGTAGCCTCGCTTCAAGGCCTCAGCAACACACTTGGTGATAGCATCTCTTCGAAGCCGGTAGTTTCCTCTCAAAAGCGGACTTCTGCCATCTAGCTGAGGAATAGCTCTTCGGTATGTGTCCTTGAAGCAGCCAATCTTTTGAACTGAGAAAGTTGTTTAAATGTTTGCAGATCACTACGTTTGCATCAGGGAAGGAATTTATTTATAAGGATCGTAATAAAGTGGTATCATAAGGAACTTACGTGATATTGTTGTCGTGATTTTAATTGGACGGCCTGATAAAAAAATAAAGAAATAATTGTTATAAGTTGTACAGTATTGTCAGACCAGCAAAGACATTTGTAACAACAACAACAACACTAGTATTGGCACTCTCACGGTGAGCTGTAACTTCTCCGAGAGATGCGTGTATACACTGGTCTACAGCTCACGACTGGAAAGCTGGTGAGCGGTCTAAATTAAACCTGGAACATAGACTAAATCCTTTGGATTTTAAGCAGCCAGTAATCTCTCACTATTTTCAGTGCTGTTAGTCGTTACCTCGTCCTGGGCAGTTTCCCCATCTCTTGTCTAGATCGTAGTTGGGTGTCAGAGCACACCATGGTCGCTTGTGGTTTCTCCTCGAACAACGGTTATAACGCCGACCCTTGTAGATGAAAGGAAAGGCGCAACAATGGCCAGTGTTTGATCGTACACGACACGATCCTGAGAGTAAATATAAAAGCATCTTCAATGACTGGCCATGTACTCAATTTTACCAGTCTTCTAACAGTAAGCTAGTAAATTAAAGTAATGAGCTATGTATCATTAAAACAGAGCCAGTCTGAACTCCAAAAGTCAAGCAGTCCGGATTGGTTACCTTTATATTTATAAACAGTGACCATGTTGCGACAATGAAAGGTGGTAGTGAGCAACTTACCTAAACAAATCGTGAAGATGATGAATTCAAGCAGACATCACGACTCTATCTGAGGGTGTTACTTTGTTTTCAGAAAATGGAGGAGGAGAAGGTAGACTTTCATAAGGTTGTTTTGTTTCCCATTCTCAGCAACGCCAATAGCCCAAACAAACACTCGTAACATAGAAACTTTTTAACAACATATATATTTTATGAAACCTAACCTCTCAGAACATAAACGTCGTTTGCCCAAGGCCCTCCTTTTCCATTCTTACACCTGTTACATCTCCCATATCTTCCATAAGTTCGATAACCATATCGCGATGCTGCGCACCATCCCCCGTGCTGCACTGCAAACACTTTGTAGCCTCGTTTGTATGCAGCAAGGGCACATTTCTGAATGGAGTATCTCCTTCTGCGGTAGCTGCCTGTCAAGAGGAAACTTCTGCCTTCCAATGGGGCTATAGCCCTGCGGCCAGTGTCTTTGTAGCAACCAATACCGTATGCTAGCGAGAAAAAACACATCTTATAATTAAACAGAAGAAACTAGTCATCTCAAAACTGAACCAGAAAAAGCATATCGGGATAGGTGTCTCAACATTTTCTTTTATCAAAGGAGGATATCTCAAAATTGCACCTCTGTAGATCACGTGGTCAGTAAGGTCGAAGACATTAAATTGCCAATCTAAAATGACCATGCTAACCACCCACACTTTCAAGTAACGACCGTGACTAAGCGGAGCTGAAACTAGTTCTAAACTATTTGTACCTTTCAATCCAATACTGATTCTTATCACTCTTCCTATAAAAGCAAGAAAAACCAAACTGATCAACTAAAATAGGATACCCTAAGAGACAAGGCGAGCAAGTGATATACTATGATTTGTTACCACTGTAGGTGATCATGATAATAATAAATTTTATCGGAAAAGGAAAAAAGTTAGTGGGAGATCAATCACCTGCATCTCCACCTTAACCATCAAGTCAGGATAGAAAGTTAAGAAAGAACGACAGAAAAAGGAACTTATAGCCCAATAACAACTACCCTTGATGACAAGTAGGATTTATGACCAACATGTTCTACTCACAAAAACACAAATTAATTGATTAAAAAGTCACTTGCAGGTAGAGTTGCGGTGCTAACCTCGTGACGGGCGTACCACAGGACGGGGTGGTCTAACAGGTCTGCGAGCTACAGGAGACAAAAATAAAGTAAAATGCTTTGTAATTTTTTAAGAAAATTCTATGAGGCTACTTATTCTCCTTCTGCAACTCTTAACCTGTTATTACTGATATATACTCTTACACATTTATTATTGATTACTGTTTATAGTAAAAGAAACGTTTGCTTTGAATATTTTTCTGTTCGTTATCATTCAAATACATTTTACGTACTAGCGCAGTTGCCCCATTTCCTATCTCTGTCGTAGTTCGGTGTCAGAGCACACCATGGTCGATTGTGTCTTCTTCTGGTACAACTGTTATAACGTCTCCCTTTGTAGATGAACGGGAAAGAACAGCAATAACGGGTCGTTGTTCTTCTGCGGCAGAAACCTGCAACATAGAAGTTTTTTTTAATTTGAGAAATCAGGAGTAGGTATCCCTTTGTGTAGTTTTAAATACACTTTGCTAAAATGTTTTCAACAGTCTTTTTAACCCTTTTGTGACGTCACTTTTGTATCTGTCAAGAATGGCCTTGTAAGAGGCCGTGTACTCATCCTTTGCGGATTCACTTTCTACTCAAAAAGTTCCCATACAGATTCAGTATCTAATACAAATAATGGAATACCAATAAATATTATTTAAGGGCATGCAGGGAACGCTAAGAATATATTTTCGATCACATACCATTCACAATGTAGACGTCATTAGCCCATGGTCCCCCTTTGCCACTTCTACACCGACTAGACCGCCCATACTTCCGGTAGGTTACGTGAGCTCTCGGACCAGTAGCACACCATCCCTGATGCTGTACAGCGAAAACTCGGTAACCAAACCTCATTGCAACCAGAGCACATTTCATAATGGCGTCTTTTCTTCTTCGATAGTAATCCTTCACCAATGGGTTTCGCCCATCCATCTGTGGAACTGCTCGGCGATGCGTGTCTCGGAAACATCCAATGGAGCGAACTGAAAAGAAATGAAAGGTCACAAAGTCAAATAACCTGGGCTTGGCTTCTGGTGGTGGCAATCAGCTAGAAAACAATTTTAAGGAATTAAAGACGACCATACTTCATAAAACGTTAACAAAGAGAATTTTGAATTTGCAAATTTGCTCATACTCAGGCAGAGTTCTACCTTGAATCAAAAGGCATTGATGACGAAGTACAGTTTGATATCTTCGTCAAGGTAGCAGGCCAAGGCCACTTTTATTCCCCTTATCAACAGATCAATTAATGAAGTCTCATAAGACAGCAAACACAACAACAAAAACATGCAAATGCTAGGTATCATATCCCATGTATAAATCTGTCTAATTTGAAATCTGTTAGAGAGAAATGAGTGATGGTGATGTCGTCCTCGAGATACAGAGATTGTATCAAAACTTTAAGTCAATGCAAACAAATTGTACTTACCTGTAACTCCAGAAATTTTAATTGGTGTAGCTAAAAGCAAGGAAAAGTAGCAGTCTTTTGTAAGTTCGTGATAAAAGTAGAAAGAAAAAGCCATTAGAATTTTATAGTACATTCTCTTTAACTTCTTCCCGGTTACCTTGATTCCATTTTAAAAATCCTACATGAATTTGAGAGAGTGCAATAATTCTACAAGGCCAAGAAAGCACAATAACATTTAACTTACAAGAATCGACTAGCCCATCTAATTGAAGGATGTAAAGTTCTGATTATTCCGAAGCAATGATTTTTTGATAAGTAAAATGAGATAAAGTTACTATTATATAATTCACGGTATATACCTTAACCACTTAACAAGAAAATTAGGGACAATCAATGCTTACGTCTTGATCCTCCCCTGCACCACCCCCAGAGTTTATTCCTTGGGTAATCAGGGCTGGTTGCGCACCAGGTTCTTCCACGTCGAGTTCTTGCACAGCCCCGGTATCGGCGACCGCGATACCTAAACGGCACACAGCAGTATCCTTGAGTTGTGCGATATCTGCATTTACCTGACAATTAATTCAAAAACAATAACATACTTATCAGCCAAGTATACTTAACAAAGCATACCTAGGAGTAAAGAAGAAAACATATTTTGATTCAGACAAGGCAAGTACCTAGCCTGAACAAATACAATGATCACCACTAGCCTTAAATTTGAAAAACATGAACTTATCTGTGAGTTACATTACATTACTGCACAAAATCAAAAGTTTGCTGAAAGGCATTTGGTTTCTTACAAAATGACTGATTAAAATGATTTTAAAGTCCTTCACTGTGTTTTATTGAGTTATTCATATATTTACTAATTTTTTCATGACGTTTGGTGAATTAACAAAGGTTGCCTCTCCGATTACCAAAGGTTTCCTCTCCGGTTTAAAACAAGGACCCCCCCCCCCCGCCTCCAACAAGCACCCCGCCTCAAAAATGCCCATTAGAGAGATTATACGTCTATTTGCCAAGGTATGTTTTAAAATCTCTCAATTGAGTATTCGTAGAAGTGGTAGTTTTTGGTATTGTTTAGAGTATCTCAAGAGCTTACCAGAAACTACATAGACGTCATTGGCCCACGGCCCCCCTTTGCCATTCCTACATCTGTTCGATCGTCCGTACTTTGCGTAAGTTTTTCGAGCCCGTGGTCCCGATGCACACCAACCGCCATGTTGGACACCGAACACTTTGTAACCTCGCCTAGCAGCAGCCAAAGCGCATTTTCTAATGGCATATTTACGTCGCTGGTAGTTTCCGGTTAGGAGGCGACTTTTCCCATCCAGTTGAGGAACAGCTCTTCGCCAAGTATCTTTGAAACACCCAAGTCTTTGAACTAAGAAATACGGTATAAAAGTAACGTTTGCCTGTTGCCGCTTTAAACATGATAACCACGTATAAACAGAGGTAGGACAGAATGTGATATACGCCGGTCTTTTACTTAAAAGCAAAGAGAATTAAAAAATCTTACCCCTTAATGAAAGAGTTATTATAATGGGCCGAGCTGAAAATAAAGAAAGTACACCATTAACCAGAAGTAAAGGAAAACCCTTTCTTCTTAGTACAATGACGGCAGTTCAATTTTGCAGTGTGTTTTTCAGCATTTTACAAAGGAATTTACCTAAAACAGATAACCTTTGAAGTGCTTTACATGTTAGGTTAATATTACTGGCTACTGTATCACTGAAGACCTGTGAAAGTATATAAAACCAGTAACCTAGATGACTACTAACTTTGTTTTTGGATAAATAACAAAGATAATTTACCTCATTTGAGAAAGACACATAAAATGCAAAAAATGGTCCATATACCTATACTAAAAGGCTTGAGGTCGTGGTGCGTTCTACCATCTTATGGCCACGGTAAACGAGTTTCACCGCAAACCTTTGTAAAAATGGTTTCAAAAAGAGATGAAAAAGGGAAGTGCAAAAAAGACACAAGTTGAAAAATTATGATGATAGGCTCCACTCTTATCGCACGCAAGTAAAACACAAATAAAACTTAGAGCATGTAAATAAGTAATAATGAATTGAAATAGTACCTCTTCCTCCAGCACAGTAACCCCAAATCCTGTCTCTATCATAGTTTGGAGTATTTGCGCACCACCGTCGTCCACCATTTCCCTTAACACAGCGGTAATATCGTCTCCGTTTATAAACAAAGGGGAAGACGCAACAGTTGCCACTAGTGGATCTTTTACGACAGGAGCCTAGGATATAAAGTACCGATTGTAATTTTTATGTTACACCAAGCCATCACCTATGCTGAGGCATCAGACCAAACTATGTCATTTTCGTTCATTATATGTACAGCGAATTTTAGCAGCTACTTC